TGGGAGTACGCCTAGTTTATGAGCAGATATTTGTTTTATGAAAGATTACTGGACAGCAGTCAAACTCCTCTCAGCAAACAACGATGACTACTTTTCGCTTTCACTCACACCAGTTGCGTAACTGAAAGCAGACTCTGTTTAATATTAAATATTTACTCTTGTGTTGTGATTTAGCGCAGGAAAAAAGTCCAATGTTACCGAGTGTATTTCTGGAAACACAACAGACTTTGGGTTGTTTGATTCTTTAAGCCATCTCTATAAATAATCGCTCTGATACGCTGCTCTGCAACATGACTGGCTTAGGTTGCTACTTGGTTTATTTCCTCTCGGTACTAAATTCTGCCAAGAAGATCTAATCCCATCTTCCTCTTGGTTCTGTCTTCGTATGAAAAACTGGGTGCAATAAAATGTGAAAGTGCTCTTTTTTATTCTCCAGAAAGAGGCCACATGGGGAGCACTGTTCAGAGTTCTCCCTTTGGATATTGCAGTGTCAGTGAGTTTGCACGAAAATCATTACTTAGTCATGATCTGTTACCCAATGCACTTGCTACATCCGTCTTTTATTACACCTCTTGCAAGTCTCCCATGTAAATATATTCTACACATAAAACCAGCAGCAGACTTGTGTTTATGCATAAATCACAGCAGTGGGAAAGCATATTTTCTTTGGTTATCTTGTGTTGATTTTTATCCAAGTCTTATCCAGTTGCAGGACTGTCCTGATCATAAACTGTCATCTGATTGTTATCCATGGCGAGAGCGGATACTACGGGGAATTCGGCCTCCCTCGAAACAGTAGTTGGAAGTAATCTCATTTAATTTAATCAGCATGCAGGTCATTTTCATGTCTGACCAATATCTAAAGATAAATATGTACAAAATGACAAAACAAAGTAATAGTTCAAGGCTTGCATTCTTCATTTTCTTGTTTTCCCAAAGAGAGAATCGAGGACTGACAGCTCTGTTTGAGAAATCTGCACCATCACTTCTGCAGTGAAATTGACTCCCTAATGAGGATCAATCAACTGTGCTGTTTTGGTAATGTGAGCACTACAGTGCATGACTGATCAGAATGGATATGAGCATATACACATTGCCTATAGATCCCCATCATTGCTATGCTGAGCGATAGGCCCACACACCGGGGTTTAAAGCTGCTGGGTCATTAAGCGTCTACACAACAGTGGTAGTGAGGAATGCTCATCATGCTTTGGAGATAAGGGTTAAGGCTCTACAGTGCATGAAAAATATATCCAATGGTAACATGGGAAAAAGCCAACAACTGAAAAAGAAAACAAAAACAAACAAACGCTGAAGACTGAGAAGGAATGTTGAATTTGAAAGTCTAATACTGGTTTGCACCTCTTTGGGAGTATTGATCACGGGGCGCAAACAAACAGACTTTGTGTCGGACGTGCGACGAGGCAACTTCCTTCACTTGGTATCCTTGGAGGGTTTTATTTGGCTTGGTGTGAGTTTGTGGTATTTGATCATGCACACGGGAGAATATCAAAAGGAACAGGGTGTATTGGAAGCGAGTTTTGTGCCTTGCTATGACAATGTCCGTTCAGAGTGTGATTAAGCGGTCTATCACAGCTGCAACGTGGATTGAATCTTTTATAGCATAGTGAGTGATAAAGGCCGGAGGGCATTCATGATGCATTAGAAAATGGTAGCCATATCAATAAAACAAACAGTGTGCAGATGAAATAAATGGGGAATGATGAAGAGGCAGGTTTGGCCTGCAGGCACAGGAAGAGTGGAAAAGAAAATCCTCATAGAAAAACAAGTGGGTGCCAAGCTGAAATAGGACAAATTTACTTTTAATCACCATCTAAAAACAGCAATAAAACACCTTTGTTCTGGATTCTGCTTGACAATCAAAGAGCTGTTATGGCGTTGTGATACCAAGAGGAGATGGGGGAAAGTCCGAATTCAAGGTGGTCTTGAGGTTTTGCTCCTTCAATGGACAAACTTAAGCTGAAAACCTAAGGTAAATACTGCTAGGTTGAAACAAAAATCTATATCTCTCCTAAAATGTGAGGCAAACACAACACAGAGGAAAGCAGAAGTAGGTTCAAAAGTTTTTGTCTTTTTCTGGGGCAATGACTTATGCAGGGACAGCGTTAAGTAAGTGTTCACACACTCATAAATTAATGATACTTGCTTACTTTTTCAAGCCTTACCGCACCACTTCAACTATAAGTATCATTCAGATGTTTTATTCTGGGATAATTTTCTGAACATAATAAAAAAGACAACCTGAGAAATGTTTAAAGGTACCAAAATCATTAGTATTATATTTACTTAAGTTATTTAATCCCCTGCTTTAGAAGGTGGTAAACTCTGACCATTATCATAAAACCGTGAGTTTAAAGTCAGAATTTTACAAGTCCAGACTAGTTGTGTTAAAGCTCCTGTGAACATTTTTTCTTTTTTCTTTTTGATCACTAAAACAGGTTGATATCAAAGCCTCTTTATGAAATTCAGAAACAGACAGGACCATAAGTGATGAGACTGAAGATGGTTCATGCTGAATTTTAAAGCCTGAATGAGCTGTAGAAACTACATGGTTTTTACAATTTTCACATAAAACATTCTCTTATTTTTTTAAATTGCTTTGACCACAGGGGGTAAAACTGACACAAAGTGAATGTTCTTCACTGGAGCTTTGAGTTTCATTTTTTAACCAATTATGCTACGTTAAAAGACTGAGAAAACTGCTCTAAGCTCCTGTAACCTTTTATAATTACAATTTACATTAATTTGTTGACCTCCTGTTTGTTGACCTCCTGTTTGTTGAAAACAAGCCAAAAATAATTACAAGCTATAATGCATCTGAAGGATCTTTTTGCCTTCAGCCAAATGCCAATACTATGTCCTCAATTAAGAGGGGTGGGTGGGGTGGGGGTGCTTTGTACCAAGACTAGCTTTCTGTATAGTGTGTCAACCAATGCATATGTCGAAGAAAGTTTTCTCCTCTTTGGACAAGTAGAAAAACAGCTGCATGTATTACATTTCACAGTAAGTGAGGGGAATTCAAATGCCTGTTGACTTAAACAAAATACATAAATTACATACAGACAGAGTGACTACAGCTTGACCATTGTTTGACAAACCTGGCAGGGCAGGTCAGCCAAAAATAAGAGGTAGAGACAGAGCATAACACAGTGCTAGACTGTGTAAGCGTGTGTTAAAGACAGACAAACCAAGTTCTCTCCTGAACTAGAACTTCAACACTCAGAATTCATCACAGTCTCAGACTGAAACAAAATCCAATATTTACCTCAGGAGAAACTGACATTGGCGCGGCAGCAGCAAAATATCTCTGTGTGTAAAAGCCGGAGGAAAAAGACAGTATGACTTCTTATTTGTACAAAAAATATATATATCAATCACTTCAGGTTAAAAAAGTTTTTAATCTCAACTTTTGATTTTTTTCATTAAAATAATGCATTTGTTCTATTTGAGAAAGTTTTAATTAGTTTAACAGGGATGACATAGTAAAGGTATGTGTGCAGTTTGGCAGCTGGTGTACGGTAGAGGACAACTTTGTCATGAAAAACAAGCTAGAAAACTACGTCCAATAGCAAACTGCAACTGTTTACAGCCAAGGCTTTAACATCAATTCTGAAAACCACCAAACAACCAGACATTTTGCTGCAGCTAGTATTTTCAATTTAGGATACCGAAAAGACATCAAGACATTCACAAAACATGCTCAGAAGGCCAAATGCCCCACAAACTGAACTATTGAAGAAAGAGCATATCTGTGCAGCAGTGTTGTTTGCAATGAGCCAATATGCATTAATTTGAAACAAAATATACCCTTTTTGATGCAAATAATACCTAAATTACCAACACTGGGAAAGAGGGAAGATTCCTCTCCACCCATCTCATGCATAGCTGTCAAATCTTCCATTTTGGCAGGGAAACTACTGCATTATACTCCTCTTTCCTGCCGTCCTCCCGTATTTGTGTTGTCCTGTAACTCTCCCATCTTATAATGTAATAGTAAAAAAATGATAATAATTAACATTCATCTGCCTCTATAAACTGAACTGTCACTAGCCATGTGAGAGCTGCCACCTGCAGTAGCATGAGTGGCAATGTCAACAAAGGTAGGCCTATCAGATTCTGATCACCTAATTGTAGTTAGTAAGTGGGTGACAAGTAGTTATTTTAGATTTCTTGTACACCTGTTTTAAAATGTAAGGGATACTGAAGCTTGGTTGGGGTGGTGGGACAGTTCGAAGTGGGTGACGGAAAATGTCCCTTTTTATTTCAAATCCAAAAATTGACAGATTATGTGTACGTGGATAGAATTTAGTGCCATCAGGAGGAGAGTGCACAGCACAGCTCTGTGCAGCAAAGCGCGGGGATGCTTACAGCTCATCTCAGACCCAACAGCATGCAAAACAAGAGCAAACTGCAACAAGCTGCATAAATTTGTTGGCTTTTTAAATATCATTCTACTTTGCAAATTATACAATGAAAAGGAGCAGGCATCAGGGGCAAATGATAGATAATTCTTTGGTGATGTTGGAGGCCATAATCCATTACTGGTTAATCCGACCCTCTGTGTCAAAATCTATGTGAGGTGTCTAGATGCAAAATACCACTTTAAGTGCCAAAATGTGAAAACTTTAAACAATAGCAGCAATGAATGCGTTGATTAATAGTTTGTACAGGCCCAAAGATCATTGATAATTAAAAAGGACTTTTTACAGAACTTGACTGCTTACGATCTCAGTTGTTTTTCTAGAAGTTTCACAGTGAAGAATCACTGAGAGAAACTATCCACAGACAGAAAAAAGAAAACAAGAGGGGGGCAAAAAGTCATAAGTGAAAGTTCCCTGTTGTTGCTCTTGCCAGCAGTGTGGCAGCATGTATTTTTTTCCCCCTTCCTCTTCTAACCCCAGCAAACAGCAGGACCAGATGAGGAGGAGAGAAAGTGAAAGAGGGACGGCTGGTTGAGTGATTATGTTCTAAGGAGGTGCATGTGCGTGTGTGTCGAGAGGTACGCCACTCTCTTTCTCTCTCTCCAGTTTAAGAGCGTTACTACTTCAGCCAACATCCCGAAGCGGGCCACTCTTTACTCCACTCCACTCCACCCCTCCTGTTCCCTCTCCTCTCCTCCGCACCAAACGCATGGAGTCCAGCAGTTTGACAAGAAGGCAGAGAGGAAGACAGCCTCTGAAAAGAAAGATAAATGGTGGGAGGGAAGTCGACTGTTGGCTTCCTGGACTGAGCTGCATGTGCTGACTGAGAACTGGAGTCACAATAAGAGGCAATTCCCTTTTTCCTGTCTGTCTGTGTGTCTGTGTGTGTTTTCTGTCTCGCCTAGCGCTGAACAGCAGGAGCAGGGATTGAGGGAAACTTCTGATGCAGCTGTGAAGAAGAGGACCAGCCAAAAGGAGAAGAAAGTGGTACAGCAGAGACAGGAGTTGTAGGAGTTGGGCTGAGAAGATAGATGGGAGACCAAGTCAGAGTCTTGATGGACAACTGAAGGAAAGGGAGGAAAGAAAAGAGGAGAACCAAAGGACAGAATCACTTCGGCCACCTCACTGCTGCCCAGGTGGGGCAACCTCCTTCTTCCCCTCCCCTTCCCCCTCTCCTCCCCCCTGACATGGGCCGCCTGCTGGCCCTGACCCTCGCCTACCTGGCCTACCTGTCGGCCAACACAGTAATCGCCTCAGAGCGCCAGCAGCACCGCGTGCAGCACGGCCTTTGCAGCTACACCTTCATCCTCCCTGAGGTGGAGCACTGCCATCCTTTGCAGGACTTTCAGGTTACTCATACCCTCCAGAGGGACTCCCCTCCAGAGACTGACCAAAATACAAGCCAATCGAAGCCGGGAAAGGCCCAGAAGGAGAGGCCTTCCTGGCAGGAGAGGAAGTTGGAAAGCCTGGAGAATGCCATGGAGAACAACACTCAGTGGCTGCAGAAGGTAAGGGCTCGAAATAGAAACCAAACAACTCTTTTCCTCAATTTTTCCTTTTTGTCACACAGTTTTTATTTTGTCCCTTTTCACCTCCTATTCAGGCCTCTTAAAAAAGCTGAAAAAAGTTGGCTTTAAAATACAAAGGATGTCCATGAAGTAGTAACATCTGTTTATTAGCAGTCATTATTGATAAGTTCAGTGCTTAGCTGGGATTTCCTGGATACTTGTTGTATGCATAACTGGCTCCATGACTACGCCTGGTGTATGACCGTATGTGTCTGTATTTAAGACCGTTGGGATGCCAAAAACTCCCTATTGCATGCAAGAGGAGGAAGGCAAGATGAAATAAGTTTGCTTATATCAAGCAGTGCCAAACATGTCTCACACTGTTAAACCTGCTAAATTAATACTCTCACCCCCACAGGCTACAACACACAGAAACTTCACTCTTGACTCATGTTTAAGCCCATTTAAAACACTCTCCGGATCAACATTAGCTTGCATACAAATAAATCATGTTTTGCTTGGCGGGAAAAAAATTGTTTATCTGCCGTAGACACATTTCAGCATCTCTGAGCCGATGGCCTGTGCGGTTCCATTTAGCCAGGATTATGACTCAAATGACTTGATGTGATTAAAAAGTGGCCTCACAATGATGTTTTCCTTACTAAGGTCATCAGGCTACAGGATCTGTGTTGTGCCATTGTCTGGGACAGACTGACTGACATGCCAGCCCTCTCCACCCGTCTCCCTATTCTTGTCTGCTTCACTCAGAATATTTATGGTATACACTAATCCTCAGGCTGATTATGAGGGCTTCTGAGGAGTGTTTAGCTTGGCCGACGGAAAGCAAACATGTTGATTATATTTCAGGATTTGAAAATAGACCATTATAAATGCCAAATCTCTTCCTGCGCTCCTGTCACTTCCTTCTTTCGCTTTCACTCACCACAAAATTGTCTGCGCTTCCTCTCCTCTCTCTCTCCCTCCTTCTTGCCTGCCTTTTCTTTTGACACCCTGTTCCTCTCTATCCATCTCCTCTCCCTCTATACGGACTGTTCTGCTCCCCCGGGATGATGAATGTGTCTCATCTCACACCTTGACTTGTCAACCATCAGATCTCGAGCTCTTTGTCTATCTTGCTCACGCTCTCTTGGAAACACACACACGCTTTCAAACCCCCTGTGCGCACTCTTTCTGATGCTCAGTCTATGAACTGGAGACCCCCGCTTCCATGGGAAGCATCCCATGAGGCCGCACTGTATATGTATGTGTGCTTGACAGACAGAGCGTGGAAGAAACAGTGAAAGAGCGCACACACTTTCCACCACGTGTGCAGTATATAATTCATGCATATGGTTTTGCACAGTGCATGCTAAGTTGTGGAATATAAGAAGCATGACATGTTGCTTGTATGTTGAGTGTATTCTGTTAGTCCTTTACACTCCCTCTGCTTTAGAGTTTGGATATAAGTGGCCATGAAGGAGATAAATCCCCCCATTTTCAGAAAAAAAACCCTCCACTGACACATTTCTTGCTTCGTTGCCAAACTTCCTCCACAAAACGTCTGGAATGAACACAACCTTTCAACAAGCTACCCCCTCAGGCTACAGTGGTGCATAAATGATCGCACTGTAGGTGGGACTTCCACATAAACATAGCAAGACCCAGGAGAACATTTTAAGAAGTCCAGGAAGGTATGCTGACCCCTGACCCCAGATGGCAAAGCCCTTTCAGCACCTTGCAAAAATCATTTAGTCGATTTGCATACGTTTGGGGAGAAACTGGTGCTGCGCGTTTGCGAGTGCTTGAGGCAAGTGTATGTCGGCGTGTCTGTAAAACTTTAGACTATCTCACTTCCAGCTCCCCTGGGATGACTTGAATCTTACCATGAGCCTTCCACCCAAACCCCCCTGAAAGAAAACACACACCCCCACACAAAAAACATAGGAACACACACTAATCCAACATGTTCCACCGAGGAATCTTCAAGTAGGCGAGAGCAACAGGACTGTATTAATGTTCCAGATTCTTTCTTTAGTGTTTCCAAGAAGGAACTCGTGTTTGTTTTCTTTTGTTCTAGCCCCCAATGTAACCCCCCATTTAGTTCCTCTTGCCTTCTGCTGCCTGGAGGGGTTGGCAGAAGGGATGTGAGCGTGCTTTTGTTAGGACTTTTAAGAGCCTCTGCGGATTATGCTAATACAGAAATATTGCATTGAGATCAAGGTGGCTAGGCAACCATTGGTGACTGGATTCTTGGCTGTGTTATATTTCATTAAGGCAATACTAAAGAATGTCGCACACATTTTTCATAACATCCAACTGGTATCCATTTTTTCTTTAGTATCTAGATAATACAACCTTTTTTTTAAATTTCATGCTTAACAGTTAAAAAAAAGAAAAGCCTCCCCGATGTTACTTGCTGTCAGGGAAAACTGCGCTTTAGCACAGAACTGTAGCCATATAATCATGTGAATGCGCTGGTGTCAAAGAGATAAAGCTTTTTCCCAAGTGACAACATGCAGTGTGAAGACATAAAGCAAATGCAGTCGTGTCAAAACCTCTTGAATTTCTTTGTTCACTTGAGGCTGGCTGCAAAAGCCAAGGAATCCCCACTGGAAAAGACTGTATTCCCACAGCAGCCAATTTCAAGTGATGTTACGCTCAGGGTGGGAAACTTATTTTTATGTATTATCAAGGTTTATAACAGTAACAATACATACTCTCTACTTTTATCATGTAGGTATATGTGAATAACCACATAATTAAAGCCTAACTGTGAGCTGTAGGATTGTCAGTATGTTGGCCATTTGAAAAATTAGCCTCATGAAAGTGAAATAATTTGTAAAAATGATTGTCATTGTTATGAAAATACACTCTGAAGGGGTCAGATTATCACTATCAATCGTAAACACTTAATTCAGTCATCAAAATTATATATGATATAATAAAAGTAGATTGAAGCATTCAAATTGACGATGCTTTGACCAATGACTTTGTGCTCTTTAATTTGGGATTTTTTTGATTTATGTTTAAAACTATTATATCTTGTGTCTGTAACTGTGTTCATTGTGCTCTCTTGGGTACTCTTGTAAATGAAATTACTGATATCAATGAGGTTTCTCTGGTTAAATTATTGATAATTAATGATAGTATAGTCATTCAAACTTCATAAATGTTAGTATCATGATGGCAATGGAAGAAAAGTCAGTGTCTCACCAAAGTCATCATGACAAGTCTATAAACACTGATGTCTAAACTTATACAGTGCTGATCAGGTATTTAACTCAGATAATGAGCACGGTCTAGACCTGCTCTTTTTTTTTGGAAAGCGTCTTGGGATAATGACCGTTGTGATTTGGCGCTATATATAAATAGAACGTGATTGATTAAGATAAGTGAAAGATCTGACTTGCGAGCAGCCCTGGATGAAATGTCATGTTTCAGGAACAGGATCAGGTATTATCTAAGGATCATAAATGAACCTAGTAACAACCTATTTCATCAAAAAGAAAGCTGCAAATCTTTCACTGCAACCCCTTAAAATAGGAAACTGATTGAAACCATTTCAACAAAAACACCTCTTTCTGGAAACAGTGTCCTGGTTTCTCTGGACATTCAGAGGAACATGCTGTCAGCAATTTTCTTTGGGACTATTTCTTCATTACAAAATAGTTCTGATGCAAATTGTTCACAATGGGATGTGTAAATTACTCAGAGGAAGCTGCAGATTGTCTCAAATACTGTTGGGACCTTATAGATAAGATTTTATTCTTGAGCATGACTCGGTTTTGAGGCAGAGATTTAGATAATAGCAAAGCTTTATGCACTGTGAGACAGTTTTGGGAGTAAATGGGGATATGTGTCTGTTTAATTTTGATAACACAACCTGTAATTATTCAGGAATGTATTTTCTCCAGTGAGAAGTGGATTAACCTTATGCTCTAACACATGGATCAGGTCAATTCTTCATGGGAACATAATAATTCCTTCCTAACAATTATCCTTATTTGCCTCAGTCCATTATTATCACTTGCCAGACCCCCCTCCCTCTCCTCTGTAATTGTAACCAAGAACAAATGTGTCCATTGGCTCAATAATTAAGATATCAAATGATACAAGTGCAGTGATTTTCTCATCACTCATCTCGACTCTTTTACTCTTACACACAAACAAAACAGAGTAACACCACATCCCAAATGTGATTTAATGAGGCGTTTGACATTAATGTAATTGACAGTCAGAGATGGAGTGTATGAAGACCTTAGGATTGAGTTGTATCACTGAGGGAACTCTTTGGTCAGGGGGCTGATAAAGGAGTCAATACATGTGGCTGATGAGGATGCAGGGATCTTTGGTGTTTCCTCTGGAGATGCAGGCTTTAATCCGCCCGGTAATCTCTTTTTAACCTCGGTTATGGATTGATTTTTTTCTGCTGTCTCAGAAGTCATCAAGCTGCAGAATGTGAGAAATAAGCAAGAGGGTGGGGGAGAGTTTGAGCGAAAGGGCAAGTTGATTCAAGAGATCCAGAGAAAATGAGAGAGATTGAGAGCAGGAAAACAATTAAATCAGGGATTTATCTTCATTAAGGGACTTTTTTTTCTGCATTAAAAAAAAATCAAACACTCTACCTTGTTGCCATGGATTATCATAATCTCATTCCTCTCTGAAATCGACATTCAACATTGAATGAGACAAACAGTTGTACTCTTATTTAAATTCTCTTCGATTTTTCAGAATAGCCGCTCATTAGCTGGATCATTTTTTGCGCTTTCACCTCAAGAGACCCTATTTTCCATTCTTTGAATTTAACAAGCAATGTCCAATCTCTCCCTAGAAAAGTCATAAATATTATTGTTCGATAATCCACTTTGCTCTATTGCGAGGCACAGGCCATTGCCTCTTAAACGTCAAATAAAATCCCATCTCTACAGCAGGGAGAGGCTGAATTTGTCTTCCACATGCCGTTTGCTCAAACTGAGCACATTAATAAGAAAATCTATTTATTGGAACAAGATGGATGCTGTTCTATTTTTACCCCTGCTGCAACATATGATGGGTTTTTGCCAGTGCTGCTTCTTCCAAGCTTATGATTGATTACCAAGAGTAGGCGACCGTCCCTGAAGTCCTGCACACTGATTTCATGATTCCAGCCTCTTGGTCACTGATCTTTTTGAAATTCCTCTGGAACTCTCAAAGAGTGCATAATTTTATTAATGTAAGGTTCGTTATTGGCCTGAGGTAGATCTGCAGATTGATGGCTGGATGAATGGGTGGCGAGACACTGCAAGGGCCCCAGGGTTCCTCGATTTCATGACTCTATCACTGTACATCTAAAAAACTGGAGTGAGGAAGACAGATTTCCTGAGGTGACTACTTTCACTCATGCACAAAGTATCACAGGGTATTTCATACCTTCAAGCTGCCACTGAGTGTTCAGGGACATTACCCTCAAAATAGAATAATCACCCAAATAAAACCTGGGGATTCTGACATTCTGGGAGGTAATAAAATCTGCATAATTCCCCTTACAGCTGGAGAACTTCATCCAGGAAAATGTGCGCTCTGGGATGGAGGAAATAAAGAGAACTGCGGTACATACCCAGACAGCCGCCATGCTAGAAATGGGAACCAACCTCCTCAGCCAATCAGCCGAGCAGACTCGCAAACTGACAGACGTTGAAACCCAGGTGAGCCTACCAGGAAGCGTCTGAGCAAACCTCAGATAACTTATTAGAAGCCAATCCAAATGAACAACTGTCAGCATCCCACCCGTGCAAAAACAAACGATGTCACTTTTGATTCACTTGGCGTGGAGCTAATTAAATGTGAATCAGATGTAACTCGCTGAGAAGCCGTGCCCAAAGGTGGCGGCGACTGCTTCAAACAGCTGCGATTTGGTTCTACAGGCTGTGATTGACACAAAGAGTTGAGCTCTGTGTCTGACAACACGCCAATTAAAACACAAAAACTCAGTAGCACAACACAGATGTGTCTTCAATCATGCCACAGAGCTGTTATTACAGATTGTGCTGTTTGGGTCCTCGTGTTTTCTTTTGGTTTTGTCAAAGCTAATACAAAACCACAACCTGTACAAATATCAGAGCTGCTTTGTTCATTTTTTTTACGACATCTGAAGCTTCAAAAACATGTCGCAGGTGCTTATGAGATAATTACCGCTCTTGTTTTCGCTGTACGATCAAAGAATTGACACTATGAGTCATGTGATGTGCTGTCTTACATCCTTGTCAATGAAATCATTACATCAAAACCAATCACCACCTCTTACTGACCCCTCAGTCTGTACATGCTCTAATACAGTTACTCTGCCTTTTTTTTTTTCAAAATAGGTGTTAAATCAAACAAGCCGCCTGGAGATCCAGCTGCTTGAGTACTCGCTCTTCACTAACCGGCTAGAGAAACATATTCTCCTCCAGACTCAGGAAATCTCACGGCTCAGTGATAAAAACAGGTGAGCACACACACTCTCAAAAACAGCATGAAGGCAGATTTATTTAAAAGAGTTTGAGATTCACCACAGTGGCAGGGGTGTGTCTAAGATTTTTTGACTTTGGTGACCCAAAAGGGGGTACGGACCTAGGCGTGTTTATAGGTACTACAGCTGGGTCTAGATAGGCTGCTTATGCTGCAAGAAGATTTATTTTAATTGATTTTTGTGCTGCTGTAAACTGGCAATAGCAGGCCCTCTGAAATTAAGGTTAAGAGTGCTTGAAAGAGTCAATTAAATGACCTGTACAGAAGGTGAGACCATTTAAATGTCTAAGAAAAGAGAATCCAAAGAAACATGCTGATAACCCACTGAAATACAACCCATTTAGGTATTTCTGCTTGTAATTCCACCTCCTGAAGTGGTAATTGTAGTATAGTTAGGGCCTGTGCCATGTTGGCTATTTTTCTAGAAATGCTAAGATGGAGAAACACTTATGTGTTGAGCTGAATAATAGCGTTAAGACAAAGTGACTTTCTGAAAGCAAAGTTGTAAATTAAATAAAATAATCATGTACATTTACACCAGCGTTAATTAGCCTCCTCTCTTAAAGGCATCAAATTAAGTTAGGGTCAAACACACCGTAACACCGAGCTAAACACCCCGTCTAGAGATGAACATTGCTGACTGCTTCTGTAGTTATACAAACTTTAGTAACAACTGCAGATAGCAATACACAGTGAACCCAGGAGCCAACCACTCAACCAAAAAGCCACTCTACAGCCACAAATAATGCTCAGAACAGCACCTAACAGCACCAGAACAGCATCATTACTTCATGGAAATGCAATCAGACCGAGACACTGATGCAGAAGAACTACTGTGTCTGCAGTGCAAAATGATTAATATGATGATTATTACTTCAAGGAAATGATAAAGTAATGATCATAAACATTCTTCCTTGAGCTGTGTCACCCTGCTGCGGTAATGGACTCGCCTGAGATCTCCATACAAACAAGGAGGAGAGTAGGTGAGTTCTGTTTAGCCTCTTTGCTAAAGAAATTAGGCAAAGGAAAAAAGATGTTTGGTGGCTAGTACTATGGCTGGGACCCTATATGTACTGTTGATGAAGTTAGGTGCTGTTCTGTGGCTATCGAGTGGCTTTTTGGTTGAATGTGTGGTTCCTGGGACCGCTGTGTATTGCTATCCTGAGCTCGTAACTACAGTTGGTAGAGAAGCAAGCGGTCAGCAACATTAATCTCTTGACGGGGTGTCTAACTCGGTGTTACAGCGTGTTTGACCCTGACTTAATTTTACGCTGGAATATCCCTTTAACACCAACGCATATCCCTCCCTGTGGGATTTAGCTTTGGCAAAAGTAAACAAAGCATGTTAAGGCACTGTGCTGTTATCAGCTAGAGTGACACCCACCCCAAAATAGCAGTGTCAGTCATAAAAAATGATACTTGAAATACTGAAATTTCATCCTGATGGTTTTGTTTGCTTTCACGGGTCATTAAGAGATATCAGTTTCAAATTAATGCAGTTTCACAAACTAGCTAAAAACTTTTCACAGAAGCTTTTAAATCAGCAGAATCACATGGTAGAGTTGACAACATCCACAACAGTTGATAACCTAGCTCTTGTTCTTGGCCCAGTTTTTCAACAAAAGGGACCAGGCTGATCAGGATCCCATGTGGGTTAATTAAACAAAACTGAACTCTTCCTTCAACTGTACATCAGCACTTCTTTAAAAATCCATCAAGTTAGTTTAAATGAAAATAATGTAGCTTTTTTCTCTTTTATTTTGACCTTCTAAAGGTAATTTTTTTACTATCGACATAATGTTCCAGTTTTTTTGACACATATTTTTTTGGGGGGGAGTTTATTACCTTCTTTTCTTGCTTTATCCTGCCACGATCTAAATAAACTGATGAAAATACCACAGAAAGTATAATGCGACTCTTCCTGTGCACAAGAGACCACTTCTTCAGGAAAATGCTTCTTAACTTTGGGTGGAAAGTATGATCTACTGCATGAGTACTTGTCCCTTTTATCCAGCAGGTCTGTAAAACATAACACTTACTCACAACATAATGCATATTGTGTTAGCATGAGTGTGCCTGTGACTAGGCAGCGTGTTTAGGGAGGAGTTTCCCATTCTTCTCTCTGGGAACATGAGGTCATTTTAAGGCCAGTGAGGGTCAAGATCAGGGTGCTGGCTGGTGTGAAAGAGAATGGGTGTTATCTCTCTTAATTGTTTAGTACTCCATTCATCACTTGGTGAGTGTGACCAGGAGAGCAGGGTGCCCCAGCCCCAACACCTGTTACACATCTGGCTCTGCTTGGTCAGGCTCTGGCCTTTGACCCTCGTCCTTCAAGTCTGTGACACGGCTCTGACGTGTAAATAAATGGGTACATCTTCAGAAGGGTAAACACCGTGATGGGATGCATGAGATGAGAAAGGTCACAGTAGATTTGCAGCCAGGCAGCTGTGAAATAAAAGGAGGAAAAAAGGGGGCTGCAGTGGTTGGGGTGAGCTTCGGCCGCTGATGCTTGAGGGCATGAATGAGTTTTTTGAACTGCTGCCAACGAAAAAGAGCAGAGAGACGTGTTTGTTTTCACAGGCACCACATGAAAAATAGAATTGGTTGGACAGTGGCTTTGAACAGACTTGCAGGAATATATTTTACAATAATGATAAATAGCACGAGATCATAAGCATAACAGTATAATTGCCCAGAATGTAGTGTGATCCAAACTGCCCTGTTTGCTCTGTCAAAACCCTTTACTGTTCAAACATTTCTGTGCTAGTTAACAGCCTCTCTCCACACTTTGTTCCTCTCCGTAAAATACACATAATGGAGAACAATTTGTCAGCATGCTTTGCCACTTTTGTTTTGAGTGTTCTCCCACAAAACAGATATGAAATGTAGGTAATGTTGCAATAAATTGGAGTGATTCAGCTTTCCCTCCAGGTCTCCTACGGAGCTGCAGCCTGAAGTGGGAGATTGAGGATACGTGTTCAAAGCAGCGGCTGCATGTGCATGAGGCTGAAAAGTAGCTTGTTCAATCTGGGCGGCTTGATTGTTTCAATAAATAACTGCTGCAGAGTCGTTAGTCAAAGCCATAAAGATCAGGCTGCAGGGATTTATGATCTTCATTCGGAGGCGGGGGTGTGGCACTGGTGCAGACACACACCAAATACACACGCATGCCCCGGCAAACACACATACACAAGCTAATGTTGTCAGATTGTTGCCACGTGCCTGTGATGGAGAGGCTAAGCATGCAGGCCCATCTGTGAATGCTGCTGCTGTACAGGTGTTTATATAATGTTTGCCAAATGAGACAGACTCGCTGATGTCTATTATTTAATGTCATGCAAATGAGCGAGTTTGTCCAACCTCTGCTATGAGTGATAAATCCTGAATGGATGGAATATCCACCTGCACCTGACACTGATACTGATGCCTCTTTATGTTGTTCAAAAACAAGTAAGACCAACAGCAACAAGACAGATATTTCTTTGTTGCAACTGTTGATGCATGAAAGTACTGTAAGGGAGTACACCTGAAGAAAAATCTTCACAGTTAGTGATCATTTTTTACTGTTTAAAAGTAATAGGATGAGGTTTTGGTCTAAAAAAATACTATTTTCACATGAAGGACAAGAGATAAGAGGTTTAACTTTGTGGACAAGGGGTGCCAGGAGAAATACAAACCAAAAGTTCCTCTCTGCACCTTAAACTTTGATAACAGTCTTTAGTTAAATGTCTTAGTTTTTGCAAATGTCTGTCATATTTCACGTTAAATCTTTGTACATAAAAAGCAAAGTCAACCAGTCTATTTTGTGTGTAACATACTGACTTTCTGACTCTAATCTGTGCTGTTATGTAAATCTGTTCAAATCTAACAAAAAATAACGTTGATGTTAATGCTTACATCTGTTGAAAATCTAATGGTTTTACCAAAAATATTTTATCCTTATCCTAGGGTCACCATACTCTGAGTCCATAAAAAGAGAACACTACTCTGTGAGTCCTAAAGTCACGCTCAGTTAATTTTGAGAGGTTTTTTTGGGTCCGGTCGAGTGTTTTTACTCACTTCTAACTCAGTTAGTCCATGTGACACAAACTCAAAACTTCCATACAAAACCCCAGACATTTTAAGGATTTTATACAATCCCCCAGACAAGGCCTGACATGGCATACGGTCACCCTACTTTATACCCATAAAGAGCCACAGATGGCTATGTGATCTTGCTTAAGTTGTCCGCACACTATCCTAAAAGCAAAAGCAAAAGCAGAGTTTGGATCACTCTCATTTTTCAGAAAAACAACCTGGTGTCCAAAACACTGGAGGTCAGGATTTTTTGATCGGCCTGATGATCAGATTATTTTGCTCTGCAAGAACCAGCTCACACATAAGAGCCAGCTTTTGAGGCAGCTACTCAAACCACTCACACATCACTCGGCTGCCAAGCTCAGCATGACGTCTGCTGCCACAGTGAAACCAGGACATGGGAAAATGCTACAAATGTTTATATTTACTATCTTCTACAGGCATATTATATCTCAAATTATTATAAAGTGTATTGTGAAGATGTTTTGGGTGATTCAATCCAGAACATGACGCAATGATTGTTTTTGTTTTTTGTCTGTTGTAGTTTCCTGGAACAGAGGCTCTTGGCCCTAGAGGCTCGGTATGGGAGGGAACTGCAGGGCTTGCAGAGTGAAAAGCTGCAGCTTCAAGAGCTTCTAGAGAGGCAGAGTCAGCTGGTCAGTCAGCTGCAGGGCGAGCTGGGCAGCTCCTTGCTCAACAGCACCCTGCTACAGAGGCAGCAGGCTGCGCTCACAGACACTGTCCAGCAGCTGCTGACTATGGTCAGCCACTGCAACGGTAGGGTAGTTTACAGTTTACCTCACTGCTTTTTTGGACACAGTCACAAAATATTAAACACAAAGCTAAAAAAGTTACTGATTAAGAGCTATATCATATTTTCAGCATCATTGCACAAAATGATAGATTACAATATGTGATTATTAAAGTCCACAGAGAAAAAAAATGATTAATAGATTCAATAAACACCAAAAATCCAGCATCACTGCAAAATAAAGACCCACTGAATTTCAATTAATGAGCTTGGGGATTGTGGTTCAGCCTGAAAAAGTATCATTTTTCATGACTCACCTCGAGCAGCTTGTAATTCAAATCTCAGAAACACCTCATACATGCATGCCTCTCAGAAACTGCAAGCTTTAGCAGGAGCTTAACATTACAAGAGAACTCACATATGGAGCTGGGATTAGTGTGCAGAACCCATGAGGTTGCCATCTGTAAATAAATGTCTGCTTGATTTCGCAGAAATCTCCAATACACCAAAAGGGGAGGTGCTTTCTTTCAGAGACTGTGCGGAGATCCTGCGATCTGGAGTGACGGAGAGTGGAATATACAGTATACACCTTGCTAACTCCACACAGACTGTCAAGGTAATGAGGCTTTGAAGGCCATTGACCTTCTCCAGTAAATATCACTAAACTGACTGTGACATGTTTTTGTTTTTTTGTTGTCTTTTCAACCATTTTCCTTCTGTGTAAAGAACCTGCACCAATTTTGGCAGAAGACCTCAAAAATGTCCCTTTTTGGCTGTCTAGTTTCTGATTGCAATTTTTCTTCCAATGAGTCCTCAGTCACAAAGATATAAAAGTTTAACACAAAGAGACACACACAGACCAAAAAGAAAGACCTATACATGTCCCCATCTGACTTGCCATTGCCCTCTTGGTGAATGTGGAACAACACCAAAGCCCTTTGTTCGATAGGTACACACAAGATAACACATCTACATCCTCTTACACCAAGGGGACCAATGAGAAAACTCACTGACAAAACAAATTGGCCCCTTTTGGCTCCTGGTAGTGAGTACGCAATGATGCCAGAGATACTTGTTAGATAGGTAGACAAGTGTGGTTTTACACACACACACACACGCACGCACGCACGCACGCACGCACGCACGCATGCACGCACGCACACACACACACACACTCTCTCTCTCTCTCACTTTTTGTGAATATGTAAGGATGTTAGCATCTCTTGTTAGATAGGTAGACAAGTTACAAACACAAACCAAACACAGACCACACCAAATACAAGTACTGGAGGTAAGATCATTAAGGGACTACAAAGTTGTCCTTTAATTTGCCTGCTGGCCCCAGATGTCGAACATGCAAGAATGCCAAAGTCCCTTGTTTAATAGGTAGACAAAAACAGTTTCACACACACACCCTTTTACGATGACATTCAAGGGGCTTATGATTATTACACTTTGTACTCTAGTCTGGAAGGACAAATATGTGATTAAATGGAAATTTGCAGTTTCTTTTTCTGTCTTTTTCTTAGTGGAGATGTGTAAGTGCATCCCTGGGTTACTAAGGGCTCGAATAATAAATAGCTACACAAGCATTTTAGCACACAGGCTTTATCGTGAAGAAGTGGGCCTCGCTTAATGCAAACCCAGAAAAGCTCAGGAGGTAGTTATTGTGACCTGAAGTTGCTAGCACCTGCTAAGTGAACCATGGTATTCACCAGCAGGCTATCCTTTCTTCGAATCACAGCGAGGATTCTTGGCTGGGCACTTGACTTTCAGAGTGTACATGAAAAGGCCGACAACTGCGAAATAGTTTTTCATGTTATTCATTACTTTCAGTCAGGTTTGCTTGTTGGCACCAGCTCCTGCTGCCTCTGTTTTTCCCTGCTCTTCCTCCTCATTTCCTGTGTGCAAGTCAGCCAGGTGCTGGGCGCTGGTGCCATGTGTTTCCTGCCAACTGGGGCCAATGTACTTTCGCGCTGATGCGAGTTAGTATTCCCCAAATCATTGCTGCTTTCAATCTGTGCCATCAAAATTCCAAGGTGGCTGGCATTCTGGGTGGCTGCATAAAAGTGGGGCAGATACAAATTGCCCTATTTTCCAGGCAGAGAGTGGGATTCCTCGATTGGAAAGGAGACAAAAAGCTTTACATGTGGAATACAGATATGAATACATAGACATATCCCTATGGCCAACTTTTGATCTCATAGACTCTAAATAAATATGATGTTTATGCATCAAATAATTAATGGTTTGGATCAGATTCTTTTTTGAATTTTCATACATTTTTGCATACTTCTGAGAGCGATATGGGCCATGAAATCAAACACAATATTCTTTCCTTTTGAGCGCATGTAATGAGTTGATTATTGTTGCCCTTTTCCAAGTATTTGCTGGATTTCTGCATGATGTTGTTATGGATCTCGCCCCAGCTGACTTTTCTTTCTTACTTATTCAGATGATAGGGAATAATGAGTTAAGTGGGAGCTCTAAACATCGCCCTGGGTCATACTTAAAGACCTTGTTTTTGTGATCTGTGTGCCAGAGCTCCGGCATAATGTGTTGTACGATAATCACAGCTGATCTTGCATGCCTTTTGACCTTCTTCTCAAACCGTCTTTTCATTTCGAGCAGAAGAGAGTCTGTTGGGAAAAGAGAGATCTATTGGGATGCTGTCCACAGATCAGGATCTTTACTGCCAGCCTCAGGAGACAGGTCAGGGCAGTTGTTTTGTGGACAGCGTTCAAGCAACTGACTGCAAAAAAATCCATTTGGGCTTATCGGTAATTATCCCAATTGTGGGTTTTGGAGAATGTTATCAAGTCTGAAATGTCACTGACAATATCTATAATCTGAGGTGACAGCATTGCACTGAAATATAGTGCCTGAGAGAAATATAGAAATACAACCCTTTAGACTTGAGGTACGCAGGCTGAATAAACCTGTTCCTTCAAGGATCTCTCTTAGAAAAAGCACCCTGTCTTACAAACAGTAGAGACACAAATACTGATGTCATCACGTTCTCAAGAGAAGCTCGGGTTAAACACCTTAAATATCCATGACAAATCCCTCAACGGGTCTAAATTTCAAATTCTGTCACTAGATGGATGAGTGTACTTTGTTGCTGCCTGTTCATTCAAACATATCTACATTAAACAAAACATGGAGCCAAGTCAAGAGAAAAAATACAGATGCCTCCACCTCAATCCCCAACCCACAGGGACAAGAGAACAAACTGGTGTGTCAGTTTATTTCCCCACCCAGGCCCAGACATATCACTGCATGACCGATGAAATGTTGGTCACCCTCCGCCCCCCACCTCTCCATGCTTCCCAGTCATCCATCAAATAATGGAAAGATTAGTGTAACCAACATCATTTCTGCCAATTGTATTTTTCACACAACTGAGTTCGTGTCATCTTAGTTTATTGTCTTAGAGCTCAAGAGTGATCAATCTTTGGTCTCAACAGGCTGAGGAATATGGAAATTTTCAAACAATGTTTATTACCTGGCTGTTTTCAAAAATGTGATACTGATTAGTCGAATCCTGATGGCATTGGTAATCCATTCTCAACAGCAAAGCCATCAACACATGCCATATAAAATCAATTTGTGAGGAGTGTGGCATAATTTAAATCTACCTGTCCTGCAATCCAGGCACCAGCAGCAGAGCGTGTGAGTGCATTTATAAGTTTGTGAAAAGGAAACATGGCAAAGTTAACAAAACTATGAGTTCAGATTTTGTTAAAAATTGAGACATTAGTCTCATCTCAAGGTGTGTCAACTTCAAAACTCTGAGAGAGAGAGCTAAATGAGGACAAAAAAATCTTCACAAATACACCTGAGGGAGTCCTGCATACCATATCTGATGTTACCTGCTACCTGAATTGAATTGAATTGAATTTCAATTAATTTTCCTTTTAACTTGTCCACAAATTCAAAACATTCAGTTCAATGTCAGGCACAATAAGAGATTTTAACCTCATGATTATTGTGGCACTGAAATATCACAATTGCAATATCATTCCGATATTTATGAAAAACAACAGTCAAACCGAGGAAAAGCGAGACATCTATTTCTTATGACTGAAACGTCTTTGGAGATGACATTGTCTCATTAGACACTGTGTCATGATTTTACTTTGATATGTTTCTGTCCCGCGTTACTTTATATCCTGAATTGCCAAACTATTCTATTTTTCATTGTTCAGCTTTCAACAGACCTGAAATGTGGAGAAGGAGCAAAGGGTGAAATGCATCAAATCATGTCAGATTGCAAAATCATCCTTCAACTCAGGATTTTGTCCTCTTTGTTTTAACTTTTTTTTACGTCCTTGGTTTGTCATCTGATGGGGATAATGTTTTGTGAGCAGGTGGTCATGCTTCATTTGGGATGACCTCCATACATTATCTCATACACAATATTTACACCTATATGGTGATATTACTGTATACTGTTGCAGTTTAAAAATCACTACACAAAATGAACTTTAATTCAGAGCAGCAGTAATCTAAAGTAACACTGGATAATCTAGGGGACGATTCCAGCATCTTTAAGATCACTGTTTTGGTTGCACCATTGCAGCTTTTAAGTTTGCTTACAGCTTCCTCTCTGGTTTACAGCTGTAGAAAGCAATTGATCTAAGTGGAAAAAAATGTTTTATAACTGCTCTTCACTTCCTGCAACAATGCTGGTGCAAAGTTAATTCAACCTATGACATACGTAAGAGCCAGAAAATTCCCTCAGTCTTGATGACAAAACTGATTCACACAACACTCCAAAGTAAAACTCTTTAACTGGTCAATGTTTTGCGATGTTTAAGGGCCAATGCTTTAAGGTCATTAAAAGTCAATTCTGTTCTTAACATTTGTTTATCTGCCAGCAGGAAATAAAAAGTTAAATTCTTGTCGATTAAAAGTGAAAAGTCAGAAACATCTGATCAACAACTAAGTAGAGAAGCAAAAGAAACTGACCAAGCAATCAATGTCAACTTTGAGTGTACAGAGTTTAAGAGCACAGGGACACTGTTCATTGTTTTCAGAGGTATTACTCTGTCATGAAGTTGTAAAAACTTGGTGTAACATGCTTGTATTTCCACAGGTGTTTTGTGATATGAAGACAAAAGGTGGAGGGTGGACAGTACTGCAGCATCGACGCAACGGCTCAGTTGACTTCCATCGCAGATGGAGGGACTACAAAGTGGTAAGTTCTGCAGAGAGTGCTGATAAGATGCATGGTGGTCATGTAGTATTTTAGTATACAAATCAGTGCTGGGGGACTGAACAGGAGGTTCCAATAACGATCCATGGGAGGTTTGGCACGTAGAGGCGTGGGATACCGGCGAGCCTGTGATCCCAAGTGACCTGTGGTTGTTGTATTTGGCCGCCTTTATGTTCTCTCCCACCCCCCATGTTATTGCACCTGCTGTTGCTCTCTCTCCCTGTGATACTCCCACACACTCATACACACACACTCTACCCAAACACACACGTCCTGCTCTGTATTACCTCATAAAAAAACCCTGTTTGAGGGATCCCAGTAGCTTTCTTAGGTAGGAAAATGAGAGAGCAACAGTATTTTGAAAAACAAACAGGACGTGATAAAATAGCGCACAAGAGAGTATGAAGTTTTTCCACAGACTCGAATGTGTTTCAACACCTTTGGCTTTTTTTCTGTATTGGACTTGCATTAAAACGAGACTTTATTTTCAACCTTATTACAAAGTTTTCTAAATGAAAAAAAAGTGAGTGTGTGCAGTTAAAAAACAGACAGAAGCATATGCCAGCAACCTTTTTCGACTGTGTTAAATTACACACAAAACAAATGAGTAAGGCTGGTTTGTGATTGAGCGGAGTAGCAATTTGTCTCCTGCCCACACCACCAAATCAATTGCCACAGCTAAGGTTGGAAACAAAATGCACAGAAGACCGTGACTGCAAACAGAAAGAGTGAGGGGAAAAAAAGGACCTAAAAACCTCTTTTAAGAACAATATTTTCATAAGTGGATGATAAATATTCAGTTCCTGTTGGACTGTTGGAAGCACGGAAGTCCTGTAGATGGCAGATCGCGCTCGTACAAGCGTTCAAATCCACACTCAATGTTTTGTGTTCATTGTTGATTTAATGTTATACCGTGACTTGGTGCTTGAGTGATAAATGCTCCAAGGCTCTCTCTTTATATTCACTCTAACTCCAGACCAATAACAGGGTGGCTGACAGCTAGACAAAGTGACATAGAATTCAGAGGTAAACAAGCAGAAAAGACTTTTTTTTTTCTTTCCCCGAAACAAACAAAGGCTAAAGAAAATCTGCACATGTAGGGTTTTTATTGTTCACACTTCTGCCTTGAAAATGTAATTACTTAACATACACCCTCTTTTATTTGCACAGCCTTGGCTTATTCTTGGCCTTTGTTGAACAAATTGCATGTTTTTTTTAATGTTTTGTTCCTGTTCTTCCAGCATTTCATTGAATATGACATATTTGTTGATTTTTCTCCTAAGTTTCTGTCAAAGCTGTAAAGGCAGACAGTACGTATTTTCCCATAAAAAGGTGCCATATCTTTTGTGAAATACTGTTTATATAACTGTGCCTTCTATATGTTTGAAAGTCTTTTGGCATTGACCCTGGTCTTATTTTATTTTATTTTTTCTTTATGTACCTTTTTCTACATATTCTATCTGCACATCTCATTTTTTGTCTTTAAGTCCCTGAAAGCTGTAAAAGTCCCCATCAAAGGATACCAAAAGATAATGTTTTCTACTTAAAGACCCACTCTTGTTTTCCTTTTACTTGTTTTTTTCTGATGCTAGAGCATTCATGATTTCCAAATCCAAAGTCAAATTTTAACAGTTCAGTTTGTTTCAGTTTAGTCAAACTCAAACCACGGGACACTTTCTTACTTCATCTTGCCACATCTTCAACTGCTTTTCATTTATGGGTGGCTCAAGAACTGTGTTAACAAACAATGTTGATTGGAAGTGAGAATAAGCTCATGCACGTACATATTTCCACTACGAAGTCAGATGTGATTTCCATTCATTGCAAACTTACTGCCTCAAAGATCGTACCCATTCATTACTGGTTTTTGGCACCTTTTTTTCCATTTGTTATATGATGTTATGTACTGTACATGGTGAATTCCCTCAGCCTCAGCTTCTCAGACTTCTTTATACCCACTGTTTTTATTAACTTGATGCAAATTAGCCTTATTAGCTGGGAGGTGTTCCCCAGGTGTATTTCTTCAGTATAACACAATGTTTTTTGTTTTTTTGTCCCTGCCCCACTTTCTTGAAACGTGTTGTTGGCTCTAAATTAGCAGCTAGTTTTAACAGTGTTTTTCATTGAACAATCAATCATCTACCGCCTACTAGTATCTCCAGGGAGTAAACAATACAGTGACATCCTCTTAGTAGGTTTATATATATATATATAGTTCATTTTTTTGCAAAGTTTATTCTGCATTCATCATCATCGAGAGGTGTTTGGCATTCCTAATGACTAAAATTCTGATAAAAATGTTTGTTATTATGAGGATCCAGAGTTCTCAAAGTGGAAAAGCCCATAGGCAGACATAAAAACCTCGATCATTGGAAGACTATTAGGCAAAAATTAAATTCTCAATTGACCTTCGGGTGCTTTGGGACTGGATTTCTTTACTTCAATTTCACTTAGTGAGCTGTCTCTGGCAATCAAAATAATACATGTGACTTTTCAAAATTGAGGTCCATTTTCATATTAACTCCAAAAACACTTGGCAGCTCATTGGTAAAATCATCGCCTTTGTTCGACCATTTTCTTGCTCTCTTGTTCCCCTGTCTTTGTGTCTAATCCAGGGCTTTGGAGATCCATCTGGGGAGCACTGGCTAGGAAATGATATCATCCACAAATTGACCAGCTCCCAAGAATACAGTCTTCATGTCCAGCTAAAAGACAGAGAGGGAAATGAGGCTTTCTCACATTACGACCGCTTCTATATAGATGGGGAAGAAAACAACTACAGGTGAGTATTATATCAGTGTCTAACTGAAAATGCTGAAGTTCTACTTTGGTGGAAACTCATGTGAAATCCTCCAAAGTCATTGTATTATAATTATACAAAATGTTCGTCATTAGTAGTAGATGATAGCACAGGATATGACAGAAGGTTATACTTAAACACTTTAAGTATGCTCAGGTCTCCAATTAAGTTTCCTTTTTCACTGTGTCAGAAACCTGACATGAATAGTGCAATAATGAAGGGGCTTAATTTCACACAAGTGTTTTATTAAGAGCTTCCATTGTGAAAGGCATAATTGGAATTCAGTTACACACTTTCAATTGTTGCCTTGCCTCTGGGTGTAAGAGTCTTAATATCACAACAGATTAGAAACCATTATGCACTGTTCAGCTTGTTCCCTATTTTCTTTTCCTTTAAGCTTTTTTTTTTTTTTTTTTTTTTTTATCCCTAAGCACCCATGTTAAGAACTTACCAGGTCCAGTTTTAATAATGCTGTTCATAATGAAGAGTTTAGAAGAGGCCACTTTTGTGTGCCTTTTTTTCCCCTCAGCTTTGCAATCGCTACAACTGGCTCTGACAGACCCCAAAGAAAAGACACATACACCAATGTACAAATGCCAATCCCAGTTACGTTTGATGCCTGCAATGTGGTCCAAAGAAGTTGGGGCAGGGTCAACAAGAGTGGGAAAGTTGAGGGACACTGCAAAATCTGTGTGGATCATTCCACAGGTGAACAGTTTAATATTAAGTGTTATGGTTGGGTATGAAAGGAGCATCCCCGAAAGACTCAGTCCTTTACAAGTAAGGATGGGGCAAAGTTCTGTCACCTTTGACCCCTGAGGCAGCTCTCCATTAAAAAACACATTTGTGCAGGTCCAAACTCTATCCAGCAAAGACAAAGACAGATATTCATACATCAAGACATATTCTGCAGCAGTGACAACAGCGTGGCCTCATATTAAAAGAGTGTAGGTACAAGACTGGCCTGTCTGCAGTCCAGACCTGCCTGCCATTAAAAATGTGTGGCGCATTATTAAACACAAAATACAACAATGAAGACCCTGGACTTTTCAGCAGCTGAAGCCATACATCCAGCAAGAATTGGAAATAAATCTCAGCTTATTAGGGATGTCCTGCGGGCATTCAATTAAAAAATAAGTAGTTTTAAAAAACAAACAAAGTGGATCAGTTTGGTTACTAAAAATTTTGTCTTTGGAGTGTATTCAGCTAAATATAGGTAGAAAATGATTGTATTCTGTTTTCATTCACATTTTACACAACGCCCCAACTTCATTGGAATTTGTATAACAGAGAGGCTTGGCTACCTGCCTTTGCCAGGAGCTGTCAACTCCAACCAAAAGCTCTTCACTAACCTTGCAATAACAAACAAGACCATGTGTGGGTGTGCTGAAGTCACGCTTCCTCTAAATCAGACGGAAATGAAATAGAAATACAAATAGTGCGGGTTAGGTTTCGAATAAACTCTCAGGAATTTGCCTTCATTTTGAGGAAATTTATGAGGACCGTGCTTGAAGAGATGATAAATCATCATCATATGTGGAGGTGTGCTCTCCAAGATCCCTAATAGTGCAGCAAATTGCATTTGCCTGACTTTGTTCCACATAATTAGCATGATAAAACTGAATGTTTCACAATTTTGCTCTCGGCAACAGCGTGTGAGGTGAGGCACCTGAGTGAAAATAATCGCCTCTGTAGTTTGCTACCTCTGAGCTCATGTTCTGCCTAACCACTTCAATATGTACCAACTTTACTAGCATGCTGGAGAAGCTGGCTCCGTTTGGGGGTTTATATCAAAACTTCACGCCAAAGCAATTCCCCTTCTCAGCTGCAGTCAGAGCGCTCCCCTGAGCAACATGGAGGTCTTCACCCAATACTCAGAAACATTATTCAGACATTAATCATCAGCGTGACAGACCACTTTGTACGGTGAGGAAGCCAAGAAAAGCTGTTTTAATCATAAAAACAGTGATAGGCATTCATGTTGATGTAACAGTACATTTCTCTTTAAAGGACAAAATAATATAAAAAGACAGACATGATTTGGAAGAATTAGTGATGTGGAGGATTGGCGGAGAGGCTAAGTCATGTCGATTGCAAATGTCGCAGAGAAGAGAGTACTGGCACAGTTCAATACAGAGCTCTTTCTCACAAGATATCCTGTGCCCTGTGGTTGCCATCATGTCTAATTTGATAGTTTTTAATATTTTTAACAGCCATAATCAATCACACAAAGAAAAGTTGCCCAGCACAGCCTTCCCTCATCCATTACCCCAACCTCTCTCTGCGATGCCATCATGACTCCCAGCACTGTCATTTCACACACACCCTTCCATGTGTTACCCTGCCCTGTGAACTTACAAATTCAAGAGGACAATTCTTCACTTAGTCATCACAGACAGCCTGCCCTGGGTTACAGAGTGGGGGTCACATATCTCAGGGAGCAGGGGAGAGTCCAGCACTAACTAGACAGAATGACAGGGTAGGGGAGAGGCCAGACAGCAGGGTTGACCCCCCTGTCCACTCACTTCAAAACAGAAGTGACACACGCGAACTGACTCAGAAATACACACAAGGGTTGACACAGACTCTACTGATGGGCCAATGATTGAAAAAAAAACTTCTATTTACACTAAACTATTACATTTGTGTCAAGAATTATTTAAAACTCTATTTCAATATTTTCTTTTTTTAATTGTCATCTGCTAAAGGCAAGAGTTTTTTTTCTAGTATTGCAATTCCTATTTTAAAAAAAAAATGATTAAACTAGAATTTGATGGTTGCAAATAATTTCGTCTCCAGATTTAATCAGAAACTGTGTAAATATACAAATGTTGAAACTGAAAAAGTTTTACTTTTGCAACAAATTGATGGGACAGAGCCATGATTACTATTATACTATTATACTGACTTTGCTTCAGAGAGACACAACTTTTCAGGGATTTTATTTAAATACCCAGTCATTTAACTTTAACTTTTTTTATCTGATTAAATTAGAGATACTCTTCTGGAAGTTTTTTTTTTTTTTTTTATTATGTTTTTCCTTACATCACATAACTTTTTCATAGTGTATTGTACCTGCCATAACTTAAAAAAAAAATGTGATCAGGCATCAAATTCCGGCGAAGCATAAAGATTTTATATAAAAATTAGTTTTAACATTTTAGGTTCTGTCTCTGACATATTTTCCATTTAAAAACCTGGATTTAAATTATTAACAAACCATCAAAATCTGTTTTAAATTAATATTTTACAAAGCAATCCAACTTTTTTCAACTGGGTTCGTATGCTCACCCTTCTGTTCAAACTTTTCATGTCTTAAGTTACTTTATTTTGTCTTATTCATGATAAGATTTCAAGACTGTGTCGGGAGAAAATCAGGAAAAAAAATGAAAAATTTAAAAGGAACTAGAAACTTTAGTCACAGAAAAATGTAACCAAAAAAAGGTTGATATCATGCATGTCTTATCCTCTCTTATCTAGTCACCTGTTCGATCAAAAAATCACAGACTAGTCCAGGTGGTGAGTTTAATTGTGTATTAGCCATGTCCAAAAGTTCGAATGCATTAAGCACTCACTGCTATTTGGAGCTGCCAAAGAGCAAAGTTCCCTGACCCAGCTTTAAATAATGAATACAAGTGCAAGTGCTGGGAGCTATTTTAGTGTTTCTTTTTTTTTCTTATCTAGTGTTGAACCCTTTCCATTCTCTCCCAAATCCAGCCTTCATGCCGACGGCTTCAGTGGCACAGCTGGACGCACCAGCAGCCTCACCCACACCGGCACCCAGTTCAGCACCAAGGACAGAGACAACGACCGCTGCACGTGCAAATGCGCCCAGCTCGCATCGGGAGGTATGCAGCTTCTGCTACTCTCTCAATCTGCCTGTACTCATAACATATCTTGTTAAACATTTTATCCACCCACTTGTAAATGTCCCCAAGTGCATTTCATTTCCCCCCCTGTGCCAGTATAAAGTTACTGCTGACTTGCAGCTGTATATTTGGGTGTTCCATTTCATGAGCTTGAATTTAATTAATTCTGACTTTTTCCTTGAACTCTATGGTATATTCCCCTACAGGATGGTGGTTTGAAGCATGCGGTCCATCCAACCTGAATGGCATATATTACCCCAGTTCATCCACTGTGATCCGCTACAATGGTATTAAGTGGTACTATTGGAAAGGTCCCAATCTGATGGCTACCATGACAACCATGATGGTGCGGCCTGCAAACTTCTGATTTCCTGGCTCGTCAAGGACGCAAAATGTAAAATGAATGTAAACCCTGATAAATGATGAACATTATTGAGAAAATCATACAGTCTGTGAGGAAATTCATTACCAGACTGTTGCTGATTACAGCATTTGAACATTTTAAAGGGGTATGGGGGAATATTGCCAATGGACACTTGCAGACTTTAAGCGAATGGTGCATTTTTTCATAAAAGTACACAGACTTTATTTTTAAAAGGATTGTGCAGCTATTATACAAATGAGAAAGAGGATGCAAACCAAAACACAACATAAGAAATTATTAAGTTACATGTTACAAGTTACTCAAACCAAAATAACATTCAATTAACAGACAGACTATTTTTAGAGACACTTAACCTATTTTTATATCAAAGAATGAAAATATATGTTGTATTGTTGTGTTTTATCATGTTGTGTGTCATTAATGTTATAAACTTTGAAGTCAATTTACTTAATGCTTTATTTACCAGCAGGCATGGGATGTCAGGGTGTCAAATTGCAAATATGAATTCATCTTATCACTTAACATTCTGCACAATGATCCTTTTTTTTGTCCAGTATCCACACTATTTAGCATTTCTAACCTATTGCCCCACTGTGCCATGTATTCCATAAAGCTTGCTTCCTTTCTCATAAAAAAGTCTCTCCTCTGGTACAGGGTATTATTCTTTATATTTAAAGTATCTTTGGGAAGCAGTATTTTATACTGTGAAGGATACAGCTACTATACTCAAATGATCTCTACTTATGCTGCTTTTCAATCCTTTCCAGCCTTGAGCCACGGTGTATTTTCAGAGACTTAGCACTGTAAACCAGCAACAATGAATCAAACACTTAAAGTCTTCTCAGCTTTGAAAACTGTAAGCTGCTACTTTACCATCCCATAATGACTTGGGTTAAGTCCATTGAACAATCGGAGACTTTGTTCCTAACCTCCAGCTAGCTTGAGGTTCTGTGGGGGTCACAGCTGAACTCAAGGAGGTACATTGTGCTGTGTGATTGTAATCTCTCTGTCTCTTAATCCTGCTCATCTACCAGCATAGCCAGCAGAATAACAAGTAGAAGAGCATAAGGGCCTATGTCCACGAACAGCATATTTTGTGCTGGCAGTGACTGATTCAATTTGCCTGCACTCACAGCAATTTCAGCTGACAATGGTCAAACCTTGAGAGAACTGCCACGCAAGTGAGGGCAACTTCACCCTGAAGAAGAGGCCTGACTTCCAATATCAACTTTGGTGTCAATGATCGCAAAGGTCCAAACAGAGAGGAAACGACAAGGCTACTATTTCAAGAGTCAGAACTGCTGCTAATAGTAGAACACAATTTCCATCAAGTGGTTTTACGCTTTTTTTGTAAAATTTCACTGCATTGAAGTAAAATTTAGCAGAACTGTTTCAATAATTGAAACCAAGGGAAGTGGGAGTGACATGGGACAACTTTGCATAACCTAGTAGCAGCAGTAAGAGCGAGGTTTGCTTTAAAATTATGGTTGTGGATATACTGAAGAAATGCAATTAATGTACCCTAAATGTAATGAATAATGTGTATATTCTGCTTTGCTCTCACGCATACCATTGTGAACTTTAATTTATTATTCAATGGCTTTTGCTTGATGGTTTATTAGTTTGTACACCTTTTATTTTGCATCTTGACTCAGAAATCTCCAAATGCTGTTGGCCTACAAACATTTACACCAGCCAACACTTGGCTTTAATTAAAGGGATGAAGGGTTAGACCCTGTTGCACACGGGTCACAATATGGTGGAACAGATTAACTTGGATCTTATGATGTATGCAATACCTGATGTTACATCATAGCTCTCTTGTGCAATGGCTTGGTTGTGACTTTATTCCAGCAGCATTCCCTGACTGTAAAACATTAGTACTTGTTTAAAGCTAAGGGTCAATCCACACACCGTTTATAACACGATAACCTATCAGCACTTCAGTGGTTTACTGTATTTCATAAAAGAACAACATAAATATCAGCAACAACAAAAACAGGCTTTGCTCTCTGTTGTATCTTCTCGAGGGCTTCAACGGAATGAAACATCCCTGATTCTTTCCAGGCACACCTCTCATAAAACTTTATTTGTGGGAGAATTTACTCGTAAAAGAACATCATGCGCTTTGGCATGTATGATTTACTTTGAAAAAAATGAATCGTTTGTGATAACATCTGGTAAAAAAAGCTGTAAATCCGATTTTTGCTTTTGTAAATACAATAAAATCATACACAGTCTTAGCTGCCTATAACCCTCAGAGCCAGGTGCTTGTTACTGTTGAAGCAACATAAAGTCCAACAGGCCACACATGTAACAGGCTGGAAGCTGGAGGAGAGCTGTGCACCATTGATCTGATGAATCATCCAATAACATCAGTCCCTGTGGCACCCATTAGGAGGAGGATGGGTTCCGGCTCGACTTACAATGACCTGGATGTCCCCGTGAGTGTGTGCACTGGGGACAGCGGCTGACTGAGGAGGACACACAAAGATGGGGGGTGGCCACATCAACAGCAGCTGCTCATTGTTGTGTGCAGACATTCAAATATCTAATTTCTTCTGCCTATTACATTCAACAGTTAGGTTAACTTCTGATTGATTCAAATTTCATATGACGGCAAGAACTCAATATTAACTGGAATGAAAGTGTTCAATCAATTTTGCCATCCACTGTGAATAAGGTGACATAATTTGCTGGCTGTGTGTTGTACATGCATGTGTTATAATCTCAAGCATCAAAAATATCTCCTTGCTTTTTAAAAGATGTCTTATCGTGCCTCTTTTTGGTGGAAAGATCAAATAAGGGCACAATTGAGCCACACGTGATGAATCCTTTTATATTCCTCTTGGCAGTAGGATAAACTATATGAAGATAATCTGATCCTTAGTGGTATCATTTGCATTGACATATAGGAGGTGAATTCAGATTGGGAATCATATAAACCTGGATAGTCTGACAGTTTTCGATTGTTTTTACCCCCTCAATCAACAAGTCTGCCTGTATAGCTGTAAAACATTTGTTTAGCCAGCTAGTGAGATGTAAAATAGACACTTCCAGAGTAGTCCACTTCAAAAAAATCTCTAACATACATTAAAGTATCATTTGGCTGTTTTTCATCCTCAATTTAATTGTTAAAAAAGTATCAGTCAGTTCACAACATTTAAATCTTCCTAACTCGATTCCCTCAGAATAGAAGATGAATATATCAAACTTTACGCAACCAGAAGTGATGTGCCTGCATGGCCAATAAAATTAATCCAGATCATCCACAACAAGATTGAAAACTTCAGCACCACAAAGCACTATTTACAGGACAAGGTTTGCAAAGAAGGACCACTGAGTCCACAGGGGGCGCTGTAATAAACAGAAAAAGAGGTGAGCTACATTTCAATGCAAAAACAACCACGAGTAGCTTTCTGCAACAAGTCGTAAATGCAGGGGTTGGTGTTATTGTAAGTCAAATCCATCCTCAAATAAGGTAAGTAGCCAATAATTGCTAAGCATTTTTGGTCAATTAGATTTCAAGTGGGCCTCATGCATCCTCTGGTCACCCTTCAGATCCACCCCTGCTATATAACAGCATTGGATTTCAGTGTGTTTCATAACCAGTTAGAAATCAATAGGCTTGGGTTTAAGGAGATCCAATCATTCAGGTTTTGTAAATAAAGAGTATTACTGCGAATCTGTGAAGGACTTTCCCAGGCTTAATCAAGTTTGATTTACCTCTTTGATAGGAAATACGTAGGAGTTGCTCATGATAGTCACACTAATCTCAAGTGTGTTTAAATAGATACGGTAACTCTGTGAGGGATATGCGGTAAAACCTCAAATACCACCGACAGCAACTGATGTACGGCGTATATCCCAGCCACATAGCTTTATGTGGAGGCAGAAGGCATCCACCCACGCACACATACACACTCACATGCTCAGCTTCCATGCAGTGACCCCCTTGCTAAACAAGTTTATTACGACCTCCAATCCCCGGACAGGCGATAGATCACAGCGGGGGAGGCCAGGGGTGAATCCATCAAAGCGACTTTAATAAAGACCACTTGATTTGGCCTGCTGGCTCAACAGATGAAATGGTTGTGTTCAGGTCCACTGAAGCACACCAGAGTGTGAGCTTCACTGCTCCTCTACTCGTCCCAGTCTCTGTTTATTAGAAGGGTTATTTGTAGGCAGAGGCAGAGGCACAGGGAGATAGTAACTTTAGAGGAGTGTTACAATTTTATCAATATTTGTGACAGTCTGTTATTTCATGGTACTCATGGTGGTGCATTTAAGGGGGTTGGTTTATTGTGCTGGTTTAACAAATAGGGAATGTCCTAAATAGATAACTACAGAGATTTTTATCTCTTCGAGCCCCTCATGCTCAGTGTAAACAGTCTCACAATCTAATGCTTAAGCTCTTCTTTGGCAGGTCCAATTTTACAAATCCATGTTGTTCAGACAAGCATTGCTCAATCCAACACAACTTAATTCTAGATAGAGCTCAGGCTGGCTCCTGAAGATTACGAATATCACTCACAAAGGAACCGCTCAGAAAATGACACTAAACACATTTAATTTTACAAATACTCAAAGTTATTTTGATTAAAATTTGATGCAGCATATCCTTGACTCGTCTGGACTAACAGAACAAGCAAATGCGTGACATACTGACTTTGTTAAAAAGCCAAACCAAACCATGGGGATTTTTTCAGACTATTTGGGGTCTTTTTTGCCTTTGTTGGATAAGACAGCTTTAGAGCGACAGGAAAGATGGGGAGAGAGAGAGAGAGTGGGGGAATGACATGCACCAAATCATGTCAGCTCCAGAAATCGATCCTGCAACCTGTGTGATAAGTAAAACAGCTTCTTTATATGGGGAGACTGCTTTCCTAAGCTGAACTGGCTCCACAGATCATGGAGATTTTCCTCCCTAAATCTAAAAGCTACAAGATCATAAGAAAATGCCCCCATACTGTGACTAAGATTATAAGAATAATTTAAAAACCAAAACACCCCACTTCTTTCTGATATAAACTTTTCATGACAACTGGAAACAAGAGGAAACCAACAGCCTAACACCTTATGTAGGCCACTAAATACATTTAGCTGCATATCAAATCTTAATTGCTGCATAGCAACTCACTTGTTTAATATATGAAAGCTATACAGAGACTGTGGCACATTTGGGTGCTCCTTACAAGGCACAATTATGGGAACCGTTTTGTCTTGTCTAATTTGACTGCTGGACCTTTGGCACACCCTGTTAAGTTGTCCTGAGCACCAATGTATTAACTGTCGACTGTGTGCAAAGGAGACAGTGACCGTTCAGTCTCTGACTCCACTCATAATTCACCAAGATGAGCCAGCTCTGCAGTTTTTTTTTCAAGTTTCAGCCTGTTTGCCTGGACCTGTCTCACTTTGTTGTTGGTTCATGATGCTAAAGCAAAAATGAGTACAAAAAGCTAATAATGTACAGGTTGTTCTGTGCAAGTTGAGACTTGACCATGCCACCACCAGGAGTACCATAAAGACTGGTGTTTGCCTGTTAACAACAGGGTACAAAAGAAGCAAGAAGTGCTGTAGGGTTGAAGCAATTGAATATTTTAGTAATCGAGTATTCTACCAAATATTCCATCGATTAGTCGACTAATCAGACCCCAATGGCAGACTCAGATTCAGTGAGATTCCCTACATTACAATTCCAAGCTCAAACCCTGGAGCCCCACTATGCAGACCAAACTTTGGAGAAATAGTGGGGACAATCGCAGAACAAGCGTGTGCGTTAGTGGATTTTAATGCTCGTAAAAAAGCTAATTATAGTATTAGCTTTCATCATACCCCTAAAGACATTCGAGAGCTGAATAGCTACTATGTTACCTGCTTCTGCGACTACACCGGCTCCATAAAACCACAACCACGCTTACTCCTGTGCCGGCCCCGGTGTGTAAGGACGTTAAGAGTTATGAATAATTAGGGACAGAACTGCTTTGACCGAAAAACTGCAGCAGTCCATTTCTAGATTGTTTATCTGTTGAAATTTGTTTTATGTCAATATTTCCAACACAGCATGGCCTTTATGACATCCTATATAAAAATGCTTGGTGATGTTGCTGCAAATATGTTTATTTTGTGCAGTTTTCTTTTTCTAAGCAGTAAGGTTTTTAACATAAGCTGCTGATGTTGCCTTTTTGCTTGCCATAGACTCAAAAAAATCACTGCTATCAAAAAAACTTGACTTTATTCTATCTGAAAGAGACAGATTTGTTTCTTCCAGGTTGGATGGTGGGAGTATTGATACATACGTATATTCTTATGTTGACTTGTTTTGTATATGAACTGATGAGAACAGAGTGAGAACTGCAAAAATTCTGCTCAGCTGGTGCTCTGAAAACCTTGCCTGAAAATTTATCAGCCTACCGAGCTGGATAGATAAATGCAGGAGAGGAGGAGAAAAATGATCAGACTGCGGGAGAGAGAGAGAGAGAGAGAAGAAGAGAATTGGGAGACAGGGCCAAGAGCTCATAAGTCCTTGTCTCTGCCTACTTGTGCCGTGGTGTCTTTGATTCATAAGGGCTATGATGGCTGGCCAGGGCAAGGGCCAGGTGTGGCATTTTGGCAAGAAGGAGGAAAAAGAGGGAGGGTAAAGGGGGAGCTGATTTGTAACAGTCGTCCTCGCTTTGTGGTTTACTGTGTCAGCATGCAGCCCTATTTAACAGTGGTCATCGAAAAAGCAATACCATCCCTATTTCAGCCTGCCATGTGAGATACATCAGCTCCTATGTCTCTGGAGTTTTTCTTTATAGAAAGAGAAAAGGCAAAGCAGCTGTTGTCATGTCATGGTTGAAAAGGTGGTGGTAGGGAAAAAAAGGGGGGAGTTCCACCACTGACCACTTGGAGGCAGTGGTGGTATAAAGAACCTCTTTGGTGAAGAGACATGGATCTCGCTGCAGCTGCTGCTGCTGCTTCTCGCTGCCTCTCTGTCTTTCCCTCCACCATCACAGGTCTAGGTTATATAACTCTGCATTCATTAACACATCTTCTAGCATGTGCTCCTGTTCCCAGCAGATGGTTAACTGAAGGCTACGGTATGAGAGGGGGGGGGGCTTCGTCAAGAAAAACTGATTAGAATCTCCTGCATCAAGGGGCACTTTGAATCAACCAGTAATTCATGTGAGGAGGGCAGAATACACTCATTGAATTAAGGTGTTTCTCTGCATTTATGATACTCTAAAGAAAGACTTCTGCAGCCACAGCTGACTG